CAGCAAAAAATACACACATGTCATGGAATCTTATTAATTATCGATAGTTTGTCTAAACATAAAATGCGATGATGGCAAAGAACAAAAAAAAAATACATCAGATCTCAAATTTTCTTGAAAGGGCTTCCAAATAACTGAACTTGGCCATCAAAACATACCACTAAAAAACCAATATAAAAAACCAGAGAACCCCTGCAATTACCGAACGAAGTACCAAAGGCCCTCAAGACTCTCCGCCAAAACAAAACTGAGCAAAGTGGATAACATGATTTGAGACGAAGAGAATAAATGTGTAATACATAGATTTGAGTATTAATCTATGTATCAACAGAAGAGAAACATACGATGATATTAAGAAGAAAAGTAGAAACTTAAAAAACAATGGTGATTGATTACAAACGTAATAAATATATTTATAAGCATGCAGGTGACGTGGATGAGATCTAAAACAATAGATCATTTTATTAATTAAAATCGAGTATATACATAAATACGTTGTCCCAAATCGAGTATAAGAAACAGTAAGAAGAATATAACAATTGTTTATATTAGGGTAGTTCACGCTTCCTACACTCTGAACGTGAACCGCAAAATAACACAACCGGTTATAAATCATGTTAGATAGAAAACGTAAACAAACCAAAACATTAAAAAATATACAAAAGACAAATTTATAGAAAAATCATGCCTTGTTAATCGTTGTGTTAATCTGATAAATCTAAAAAGTTTAAGAACAAAAAAAACAGATTAATATATACGAACAACTAAAATAACCAATCTATCAACAAAAAAAAAAAAGCAAACGTCAAAAAGACAATCATACATCAATAACCACATTAAAGTATGCAAAAAAGTAAAATAATTAGGTTAAAAAAACACAAACATATAATAGAACAAACCCTAATATATTTATATAAAATCATCAAAATAGAAATCATAAAAGATAGAAAACAAAATTCATACCTCGATCAATAAATATGATATCTACAAGAACCAACAATAGATTAAGAAATAAAATATCAACAACGAATAAGAGAATGTAATATACCTAAAATCAAGAAAAAAAATTAGAGAAGAAATACATTAAAAGTTTGAAACTCTTAGTTATGGCGATTCGATCTACCTTTAACACA